GTAATTAGCAGAAGAGATCCATTTCTTCAGTGGTTTGTTGCAATTTTGTTTTTCACTACAGGATCAGAAGAGGTAGAGTTCAATGCAGTATATCAGCCTTGATTTTTGGACCTTTGGCAAGTGCACCCTCCATAATAAGCAATGTCGACATTCACCTGCTGCATCACCACCACCCAAACCACACAAATAAGCTGAGATATTGCTTCTCAGCTCGGCCCTATAGTTGAAAGATGTTCTATCAATGGGTCTTTGAGTGTTCTGACCCCTGTAGGTCATTTCCTAATATTATCATTGTCTGCTCATTCACAGGCAGTAGGAGGGCCCGATGTGGCACCCAGCAGACCTGTCAGGTGGGAGCTTTCACCAAGCTGTTGGCAATATACTGAGGGGAGTCAGTCCTAGACCCCAGCCCCTCAGTTATGAGGGAAACAGGACGATTTGTAGAAGAATTCTGAAGATCCTTCTGAGAGCGTGTGTCTTAACCAGTTTCAGCTGCTATAACCAATTACTGTAGATTGGGTGACTTACAAACGACAGAAGTTTATTTCTCACAGTTCTAGAGGCTAGACATCAGAGATCAGGGCGCCAGCGTGGTCGGGTTCTGGTGAGAGTCCTTTTCTGAGTGGCAGACTTCTGTTGTCTCCTTGTATTTTCACAGGGCAGAAAGAGAGGTGAGGACCTCTCTGGGGTCTCTCTCATTAGGGCACTAATTCCATTCACTAGGGCTCCATCCTCATGACCTAATCACCTCCCCAAAGCCCCGCCCCCTAATATCGTCAGGAGATGTATTTCAACATATGAATTTGGGGGGAGAGGCACCAAAAGTTAGTCCACAACAGCATGAAAGTGAAAAGGGGCAAGTTCTTTAAAAAAAAAAATAGAAAAAAATATGATTCTGTGAGAATCTGAGCTGGACACAGTTGGCAGCTGGGCCGAACCTAGTATGTCTGGACTGAAAGGGACCTTAGTGATCACCAGGAGACTGGTGTGGATCAAACGCTGGCATTTTCTCTTTCCTCCCTTCTGCCCACTCACCGCCAGGACTCCAAATCAGAACTCAAACCTAAAAAAGGGAAATTAAAAGATCTCACTGTGCATTGGGTATGTAATAGTGTGCTTCTATCCAGACCCCCTTCTGTCTTGTAGATTGACAGTTCATATCATACAAATCTCACTGTGAGAGAAGTGGTACTCCCTCAAGGAGTTCCGGAAATGGCCAGCCCTTACAGAACTAGCAGGGCACATGGTTCTCTGTGCTAGCCTTTGCTCCCGGGTGCAGCATGGATGCCAGCAGGCATACTGACTTGAACTTGGCCCTTTCCAGCTCTTCAGCTAGAAGGCTGAACTTGCTTTCTAACTCTGCTGACCTGCAATAGGTGACACCACTCTTGTCTCCCTGGTATTATCTTGTGGTTTTTTTTAAACCCCCAAACACATCTTTCTGGGCTTCACTGTGATGTCTCCATTCTGACTCGTCTCCCCGTGGCATGGAGAATTCCTGTAAACCCAGCAGTAGAGCTGAACCCCAGAAGCTGGCAAAGCTGCACAGTAGGCTCCTCTTACTCACACCGATGCCCCTTCTGAATGCTGATGTGTTCTTATGAAATGAGGGAGCTTTAAATGCCCTTGCTGGCGTGGGTCTAAGATCTCTCTGTTTGAGGTACTATCAGGGAATTCACAGGGCATTCATCAAAATCAAGCTGATGCAAGCATGAATACTCACAAGAAAGAGCCCTTTTATGCTGAAAACTGCTGAAGGCTGGAAAAGGGGCTAATTTATTTAAATTATCCCTCTAAGTGTCAAGCCCCACACTTTCTGGAAGGCTCTGACAACTGTGGGTTAAAGAAAGTTTTCTCAAATTTATAAATAAATTAGTAATGGTAGAAAGTTAACCTGGGAAATCAGAGGAAGAGAAAAGTAATCGCCATCGATGTTGACGCAGATGTAGGAAAATACAGTTTCTGCTATTAAGCTTTTAAATGTCAGCAAATGGCAGTTTAGTAGATCATTTGCTAATAATGATTAAATTTCTCATTAAAATGTTTCCTTCATTATTCTTCAGGTAGAAATGTGTAATTCAATGATTGTTACATCAATTACACTTAAAAAGCTCATTAAAATACTGAAATATTATCTCTCGTAGTCAGAGTACTTTAAGAGTACTGTACTAATTATAAAAGAAATAAACTCTTATAATAGCACCATTTGAACTGATGCCTTATAAATTCTTAATGTAAAGCTAACATGTAAAGTTTAAATCAAATATATAGATCCAATAAAACAAAACCTTTTTAATCTTGTTTTACCTTCAAAAGGACTCTGATTATTGTAATTAAATAATGCATGATATAATAAAGATCTAGAGGGTGTGATTATTTCATTGGCAATTGAATATTGGTGCTTTTTATTTATGCAAGCAATGTATCACAGGCAATATGCATCAAGCATTAAAATATTGATACAATTACACCTAGCCTGCTGAACCAATAAAAAAAAATCTGTGACATGACTCTGCTGATGTTACGAGGACAGTTTGAAATCCTTTTTAAATTTTAATACTCTGATGCGCTGGGTTATGCTAATTCTGCTAAGAAATAATGCCTCCAAGATTCACTGTTGTGCTTTCTAGTCCTGTGAGTGAACAAATCCAGCTTTTCTCAGCAGAGCTAACAAGTAGAGTTTGCTTCTGTACACATTTGGCCATTCTTTTTTGGAGAAAAATTTTAAAAAGAATGAAGTTTGGGGTTAGTTTGTTTTTAAGGATGTTTATTCATCTTATGATGACCTCGCTTTAATTTTCTCATTGACTAAGTTTCACAGTGCCTTTTAAAACATTCAAATGCATTTTATTCTTCAGTCCTTTCTCCACAGAGCAGAGGGTTAGGGAAGTTTTCCTTGTTGCTGTTTTATTATTAAAGCCTCGGCAAGTGATTACGTGGGGCTCTGAGCCTGTCCCAGAAGTCCTCTGTGGAAGCAATAGATGACAGAATTTCCCTGCCCTGTGCACACCTGGGGTTCAGTGTCTCATAGCTGACCCATTTTCTCACCTGTACAAATGGACCCCAAACGCCTTTGTTGTTCTGTGTACAGAAGGGTCATTTAATACGTAATTGTTGACTTAAAAACACAGCAGCAGAAACAGACTTTCTGCTCATTTGGCTGCAGAAATGTTTGTATGATTCTGGGGACCTTCCTCTTGGCTTTTAAAATATTTTAGACCCCTGCCCTGGCTAGAGGGGGAGATGTTTTCTATTATCCGACTTGGCAGTAGTGTAAATATGGAAGGATGCAGATATTCATAATACAATAGCTGTGTGAAGGACTGAAAAAGTCACATAGGCCAACTCGTGTATTTTACAGTGGAGGTGTCTGAAGTCCCTTAGTGGTAAACGAGTTTCACAGCCATTTCTTCTCTTGACCATCTCACCTCGGACCGGGGTCTCATGGGGTTTCATCAGACCATTGTTGGCCAGACCTTCTCCTCGGTGATGCTTATCTGGGAGACGTGATAAATAAACAAACACCCCGGTCTCTAAGCAAAAGCTACCTGATACCTTTGCTTTCCAAAGAGGTGCTGGGTGGAATATGGACCTTTGAAAGAAACGGGAATTGTTAAGCCTATAAACAGAATGTATACATTGCAGTAATTTCCTTGCATTTTAAGACCCCAGAGTTGTACTCCAGAGCCAATAACTGTAAGTTCCACCTGCACCTTTCCTTCCAGTGACTGTAGTTCCCCTTTTAGCAATGTCAAGTGTATTTCCTCCCTCTTTTCCTATATGAATAAGCAGCAATGGCTGGTGATGATACAGCACAGTTGATCATCATGAATGTCTATAAGATGTCATATTTATGCTCTTCTGTTCAGCTTAAATCTTACTCAGGTTCTAATAGCAAACAGTCCAGTTACAATGGGCTGGCAGTGCGAAGCATCTGCTCAATTCAGATAAATAAGACCAATGTGTTTGAAGGGCAAAGTTTCAATACAAGTGGCCTGCCGTTTCATTTGGAGATGCAATTCCTATGTGGCATAAATAACAAAGAAGAAAGGGATTATTTGCTAATTGATTAATTATCTAGTAAATGAATTACAGACCTGTGGAGTGTAGCTAGGTGTGCGCCGAAGACCTCGGCTGCTTGCTTTTCTCCTGTGCATTTACAAGTCCTAAAGACTCTGAGGCTCTGGGCTCCCAAAGCCGATGTCTCTTACCCCTGGCTGGAGGCTGCACACGGTGATGCACTTGTCCTTTTTCAGTGTCTGAAGCCCATTTGTTGTTGGATACAGGTTTGTGTGTGTGTGTGTGTGTGTGTGTGTGTACGCACGTGCACATGTGTGCAAGAGCATACAGAGAGAAAAGAAAATTCAATTTTGAGTCAAAACGACCCAGTAAGTTAACCGTTCAGTTGCGGTGAGGGGACTGTTCTTTTTTGCCTCTATTTTTACATTCTATAAATGGCAGAGTTGTTCTGAATGACAATCTTTTGTGGACTGAAACTGCCAAGGATTAAAGATCAGGGAGAAGAGTGCTCGTGAGTGCGAAAGCCGGTGGGTTGCAGAGCCTTGATAACCACGGAAGAGCCGATAATTACCATCCTTGCTTCCCAGGCAAAGGGGCAGTTGCTCTTCCCAAGGCGTCCCCACTGCTCGGTTTCCCCCCATATGAAAGTAGCTGATTTAGTCAGAAAGGTGACAGGTAAGGCTCTTTGCTGGCGGAAGTTTTGCATCTTCCCAGTGCCTGTTTCCCGACTTCACCACAGAGGCTGTCCATCACCGTTGTTATGTACGCAGGCTGAGCGAGCCCGCAGGGGATCCTAGTTATTTACACTCTTTTTCAAGCTTCGAAGCTGTTATAATCATTCGCTGTCAACTTTGTGCTGACACTGAATTTTACTTTGTGTTTTTTATGCTCGGTTTGGGTCTAAAATACCGGCATCCGTACCCTACACTGTAATTCCAGGGGTGACTGAGCTGACCAGCTGTGTCCTGTATTCCTAACAGAGCCCTGGAATCCTGCTACCTATGGAAACTTCAGAATTTGTTGATTGTGGACAACAGAGAGTGTCCTCCGGCTTTGGGCTTTTCTTCCTGGTGGTGGCCCTCAAGAAGAAGCCACGTGCGCCCATTTCATCTTCATGCATTTTCCTCTTTAAGAACAGGTCAGTATCAGTTTCCTCTGCCCCTGAGCTGGAAAGCTGGAGAAGGCAAACTTTCCCTCTGCCAAACTCAGTGCGATTTTCAGACCCTCCTCTTTCCTCCAGACCCCTGTTCAAAGGACAACCTTGTGTTGCCCCCGCCCCACTCCTTTCTGCCTTAAATGGGTCAAAATACATGCCGGGAATGTGTTCATGATTCAGATCAGAATAGAAGTGTTGTCCTGGGTGGTATGAATGACAAGGAGCAGATTATGAAGATCCTGGGTAAGGCCACTGGTGGGAGGTGAGGGATAGGCGTTTAGACTTCATCAGCGAACATTTGCAAGCTCAGACTTCAGTGCCCTGCGTCCAGGCCAGGCTGGGGATGAACACCTTCCTTTCCCTTATGAACAATGTTCTTTCCATTAAGCCCAGGGCCTGAAACCTTTCATGACACGGCAGTGAATGATTTCTCCATGTTTAAAATGTACGATGTTTCCATCCACTGTCCCCATCTCTGATATGAAAATTTCATGTATGTTGGGGCCCAAAGGGAGTGATCCACAAAATGATATGACCCTGTTCTTAACTGGACTTGAAATAAAGCTGGTCAAGGAGCTTGTGTGCTCGGCCAATGTAATAAAGTAGACAAATAATTACCGAGCAAATCAAACACACTTACACCTCAGATGATTTTGAAATATTATCTATAATCGGGCACTTCTGTGCTAGGAGGAAAGGTTAATAAAGTAATTTAAAAAAGATTGTGTGGCGTATTATAGAATCAGAAGAGGACTGGCGATCATAATTGTTAATCTCCTAAAACACCAGCTCGGCATCGCACAAAGCAGATATTTTAGTACATATTCTTATTGTGTATTCCACTTATTACTATATTAGCTTGCTTAATTATCCTTTATAAAAACCTTACATTCAGTTTTTTTCTGTGTTTAAAAAAAAGTCAATATTATTATTCCAGCAGACTAACAATGTGTGTGTCAGTCTTGATGTGTAGATAGTAGAGAAGACTAATATATATATTTTTTAAAGTAATTGTCTTCATGTGTGTTATAGAGAAGAATCCTATTGGCGTAGGCGCTAGGTATTTACATATTGGTAACCCTTTCCTTCCTGCTGTCATTTGCGGTGGATAAATAGGGGAATGGCACAACTTCGGCAGTTGGAATTGTTAAAATAGAGAAGGATAACTCTACGCTAGCTGGGAACAGTTTAACACTCTTGAGATAAAGCTAAGGTGTAAGGTTGGTGGGCTGTATCTGTAGGAAGATCGGTTCACCTGAAAAAAAAAAAACTTCTGTTTTTACAAAAAGCCTTGTTAAAAGTAAATTTCAGTTATTTTTTTTTTTCTGCTGAAGAATTGATTTGGTATAGAAGGAAAAAAAGGGAGGAGGGTAAGTACCAGAAGACACTCGCTCCACCTCCACTACTGACTGTACCCCAGGGCAGATTGGTTTACATCTGTAAAGTTGGAATAACAAAAAGATCACCTCATAGGACTTTGAAAGGAAAGAACTATGTAAACTTTAAAAGTACCAGCTAAAAATGTTATTTATACAGTCCTTTGCTTTCACCAAATTTTCCCATTATATTTGTATCATAATATTTTCTCATTTATAAATATTTAGAAATATGTGGTATTTAATTATGCAACTGTTTTTCACTTTGAATGAAGCCCATACTGGCTGGAAACAGATTTGTAATGTTTTCCTATGCAAATAATTTGCACTTGAAATTGTTCCCCTGGCTTGGCCCTGCCACCTCTTCTGGGTGACCTCATATTTTGTCCTTTCACTTCCCAGCACCTCAAACATAAGAGGTACATCCCCACTCCTGTGCTTTCCCATTTATTTTATCCCTAACCTCCTCGTACTTATGCTTCTGTGCCTGCCACACCACTGAAGCCAACCTTGTGTTAGTCCTCCGTGGCCAGTGGTCCCTTCTGCAAACCACACCTTCGACCTGTCGGCTGCACTTGGCCAGCCCTGGGCGTCTGTGACACCAGGCTCCTTGAGCGCCTCCTGCTCCTGCTTTGTGCTCCCTTTCCTCCTTCTTTCTGCCTGGAGCACGTGCTCTGTGGGCTCAGCCAGAGCCCTGGGGTCTTCTGTCTTCATACTGCCTCCTTTAGAGGTTTTGTCCATTCAAAGATGGGCTCACTGCTGCTTACTCTGCCTCGTCTCCTTGTCAAAGGACTCCAGTCCCTCATCAGAACATAAACCAGTCCATTTCTGGCTGCAGCTGTGCAGAGCTCTGCCACTAGCAGGAGTTTCCATAGCTGTCAGAGTGACCAGATTTGAGGAGGCTTTATTTTAGTCAGGTGAATTAAGGTCTTCATTCCTGCAGATTGAAGTAATTGTGAAGTTGTTCAGTTTATGTGATTTTGGTGTAGAATCAAGTACACGACGTGAAATGTTGGAGCCTTGTGATGGAATCACCTATTAAACATTCTTTGTTTCTCCTGATGTTGGGGGTTCAGAGTCTTCCACTCTCATTCACTGCTTGCCAGCATGGTTTTAGGACTTCTGGAGGTGGGCACAGGATGGCTACCCTGACAGCCTGAAGACTTTTAGAATGACTGAGCTGACATGTCTGTTAGCCTCTTTGGAGATTAAGATTTTCCTTTTTTCCAGCAGCAAATATGGCTCTTAGAACTCTTGGCAATAACATTATGAGACTCCAGTGAGCCAGCTGTTTTTGAAGATGTTGACCCAGGCTAACATGGTCTATGATTTCAATTAAAAAAATTAAAAAGTGGAAAAATATGAAGGAAAAAAATCACAACTTACTGTGACTCTCAGGTGGGATCACACCCACAACACTTTGTGGCAAGTTTCCATCTGTTCCTTGAGAGATGAGAGCCTTGTCTAGTGCTGTCTTTCATTACTGAAACAAGCTCAAGGCAGGATCACAGCGGTCTAATATGTGCCATTGAGAGCATGGCTTTTCTCTGAACTTAGCAGGTGGAATGTGTTGATGTCCACCTTCTTCTGGGATCGATATCAAATCCCTATGGAGGGCTGAACGGCTTTCCTGAAGAAAACTCGTGATCCAGGGTAGGATTATGGAGTTGCAGGTGTCGGGGGAGGATGGAGGAATTACAATTTTTGAAGGAAAATCAAGGGAGCAAGATCTCTCTTCTCTTCTCATTTTTGAAATTCAACTACCATCACTTTCCATGCTCTGTTGCTATAACCTGAGCTTCTGGGTCTAATGCTGCTCTTCTTTCTGGCTGTGACATTAGGACATGAAGCTTCCAATGAAATTTGCCAGATGATTAACTAGTTGGTCTGAAAAGAAAGCTAACAGACATTTTTTTTTCCAGTAGTATTTTCCTTTGACCATGTTTCCAAATAGAAGCTCTCAAATGCAGTGTTGTTCCGTCTGCTAGAGTGATTTCTAGAGTACAACAGATAGGTGGCACGTGATTTCAAATATATAAACATTAGCCGTGTGTAATGCCAGCCAACAATTTATTGGTGGAATTGAATTTGTTGATATCAGCTCTGCTTTGCTGATTCTTCCTTCTGTTTCCCGCCTCCTTCCTCCCTCCTTCCCTTCCCTCCTTCCTTCCTTCTTGGATAGGATATAGATCACTTTTTATTATTATCATTGACCTAAAATGATTTGTTGCATTTCCTTGCTTGTCATGCTGACGCTTGCTATTGGCTTACTCCGTTTTTCTTATCTTTATATTTCTGCACAAGGTTAGAGTTCTCCTCTAACCTTTGGAGATGTAAATATACAGACAGGAAAACAAACCAGACTAACAGTGGTATGTCTCTGTGTAAGTGAGGTCAGAACACAGCATCATATGGCTTTTCTTTTTAAACAGGGTAACAGAATTTCATACTATGAGAACCTGGGATTCAATACACGGAACAGGTTAGAAAAGTAATATAGTAATTACTTTCATCTGGCAAAATATTTCAGTCAGCAATGACTGGCAATAAAATAAGATGATCACCTTTAGTGTATCTATTACAAAAACAATTGCCTAAAATAAGAATGGTTTAAAATACCTGGTGGAATGTAAAGCATCCAAACAGGGGACTTTCTCTCTGTCTCCCTCTGTCTCTCTCTGACAAACACACACACACAGAGACACACACACACACTGCTCACAATCCACAGACTATGTTAACAGCAATTTACCTGAAACATGGGGCTGTTTTTTAAAGGAAAAAAATACTCCAATTAAGGATTTCTAAATAATATACAATTGCAACTACTTTCCTTTTTTAATGAGTTTTCTTTTAGCTTTTAAGGTCTAGAGAAATCACTTATCTGCCCCTTAAGAGATTCCTATTCTTTTTCCCCTCTTTTTTTTTTTTAACAAATATAGTGAATGTGAAACATCATTAATCCAGTGGTAATATCATCTGATAGCAGCTAATCCCTTCTTAGGCACAGCTTTTCTTGGGCCTTTGGAACATAGAAATGTGCTTTTACTGTTGGGCATTTTATTTAAGCATCAATCTAGTCTTAATGCTTAATTGTCTTTTGTAAAACACCACCAAGCAAAACGAAGACCGTCCTCAGAGTTCCTTCCTTGGGAGTCCAGTGACGTCCTCTAGCCCATCGCTTTGAATACTCAGGTCATGGATCAAGGGCAGCTCCGTGCCTGTGGTTTGGACTTGACTGTCGGCTCTGACAGGATGATGCAGCCCATGCCGAGATCCTAATCGGTCAGAGAAGTCTATTAAGTTTGAGCCCTTAAGCTGTCTCAGCCAAATCAGGGATACCAAAGTTACATTTGTTTTTGTGATGACCATTCATTTTGGTCAAATGAAGAAATTGCTTGTGTGGCTTTTGTGGCTTCAGGGGCAAAATCTGTGAATGTCACATATCTCTTAGCCTCTGCTTTATCAGAGACATTATTGAGAAGATGCTTATGAAAAAAAATCATTTTTATTGCAGCTGTTTATAAGTCACCTTGATCATAAAAGAAAAGAGGCAAAAGTGAGGTAATCAAAAGCTGTTTTTTTCCCCTCTTGGGGAAT